TCAGCTAATCTTCAGCTAATATAAAATGTATTCAGCTTTTTGATATCTTTTACAGGTTTTAAATTCCTGCAGTTTACTTTTTAGGATAATTTTGAACATTTCTCTGTTAGTGTGTCACATGAACCGCACTCTAGCTCTGTCCTTCAGCCTTTTCACAATGTTTCAGTTTGTTTTCTGCTCTTATTCTGCCGACCTTAAGCCTTCAAATACAAATTATGCATGAAAACGGTAGAGAAAATTGTGAGGAACAGTTTTTGAATAATGTGGCACATTTAAGAGACAGTGTCGCCTCACTCTCTCATAAATGGCCATTGAAAAAAACGAATCAGAAAATCTCCTCGAAGCAAAAGTTAGGGCATTTGTAAATCTCCACAACTCCTTCATTTTTTGGAATATCTTGACATAAAGGTGATCGTGTTTATTGAAAACTCCTGCCGCTTATAGTGAAGAGACATTTTCGATAGGACTTGTACTTTTTTTTCGATTGTCAATTGTTTGAAGCCCATGTTTGATTGAAAGCTGCTGTAGTGTCCTCAAACTATTGAGTCACTTAATGATGCATCTGCTACTTTTACACACACAAACAGCAACAGAATAACAAATGAAAAGTCAGCTTCGGCTTCTCCCGTTTAGGGGTTGCCACAGCGAATCGTCACACTGACGATTCGTATGTTGACATTTGGCACGTGTTTTACGCCGGATGCCCTTCCTGACCAACCCTGATTCGAACCCGGGGTGCAGCGGTGAGTGCCTTAACCACTAGCCTATGAGGGACAGGCCCATTACGGAATAACAAATCAAATCAAATTTTATTTGAATAGTCCCAAATCACAACAAAAGTCATCTCAGGACACTTTACAATGTAACCTTACTATTATCACTATTATTACAGAGGGAAAACCCAACAAATCCCCCTTGAGCAAGCACTTGGCGACAGTAAGGAGGAAAAACTCCCTTTAACGGAAGAAACCTCCGACAGACCCCAGCTCTTGGTGGGCGGCTTTCTGCCTCAACCGGTTAGGGTGAGTGGATAGAGGAGAGAGAAAAGAAGAAAAGCAATAGGACACAACAAACAATCAAACACTGATCAGGTTGATGTGGCCAGTGACTGCTCATCAGAAACATAGAGCTCCAGAACCAGGGAAACCTGCAGAAAGGTAGAGGGAGAGAGAGAGGACACACTACAGGAGAGAGGAGACACAAAGTTATTGATGTGTAATGGTGACATATAGAAGCATAGAGAGAGAGGAATGGAGAGGGGAGGGGAGAAACTCAGAGCATCACGGGGCCCCCCAGCAGCCTAGGCCTATAGCAGCATAACTAAGGGGAGGCTCAGGTCACCTGATCCAGCCCTAACTAAAAGCTTTATCAAAAAGGAAAGTCTTAAGTCTAATCTTAAAGGTAGAGAGGGTGTCCGCCTCCCGAATTGAGACTGGGAGTTGGTTCCATAGGAGAGGAGCTTGATAGCTAAAGGCTCTGCCTCCCATTCTACTTCTGTGGATTCTAGGAACCACAAGTAAACCTGCACTTTGAGAGCGAAGTGCTCTGTTATGATGACAAGGCTCTACGAGGTCTTTAAGATATGATGGAGCCTTGTCATTAAGGGCTTTGTATGTTAGGAGAAGGATTTTAAATTCTATTCTGAATTTTACAGGGAGCCAGTGGAGAGAAGCTAATATGGGAGAAATATGATCTCTCTTCCTAGTTCCTGTCAGTACTCTGGCTGTAGCATTTTGGATTAACTGGAGGTTTTTTAGGGAAGTATTGGGACATCCTGATAGTGAAGAGTTACAGTAGTCCAGCCTGGAAGTAACAAATGCATGGACCAGTTTTCAGCATCACTTTGGCAGCGGATGTTCATCATTGTAGTGATACTGCACAGGTGAAAGAAGGCAGTTCTAGAGACTTGGTTTATGTATGATTTAAAGGACATTTACTGGTCAAAAATGACTCCAAGGTTCCTCACAGCAGTACTGGAGTCGAGAGCTTGAGACGT